ATTGCACGTTGCTTCTAACTAGTAACTATAAAATGTAGTTAACGTAATTTGGTTATATAAAAAGAAGAGAAATTTTGATAATACAAGTTGAGAATAGTCTAAATTATCTATACCTTGATTCAAGAATCCATTCTTAGAGAGAAACAATTTCTAGACGCATCTTTCATTCACACTGATTTGTATTTTTCGGATAGTTTTTCGTTTCAAAGCTTTGGTTTTAACCTGTGTGTAGCTCATGTTTACGAACATGTTTATCACTAATGCTGATCCTAGGCAACATGTTACACTTACCTGACTTCCAATAATTTATTAGTCATTGCATTTTATGAAAATGCACTTAATAAAAATATAGGTTTGTTAGGTTTGTTCATATATTTTATTAGTCAACTAAAATATTTATGACATATTAGTTATGTTGGTCGCAATAATAATCACATAACTATGAAACATAGTTAATGTAATTTGGTTATATAAAAAGAAGAGAAAATTATATAATACAAGAAGTTGAGAACACACGTCTAAATCATCCATACCTTGATTCAAGAATTTATTATGTTGGGTTTTTTTATACTCAATAAATTCGAACAATGATTTAAAACGATGTCGGATAATTGTATCGACACCATAGTGCTAGGTTCAACCTGGAAACAACCAATACACTTTGAGGATGGCTATTGTTGGGTTAGTATTTGGCTCTTGTTTGGTGGTGATATAGTAGCCCATTTAATGGATTTATCCCTTGGCCCTTCTAGTTGGTGATCCATTCTTTGGTTTGTTGGGCCCATTTGGAGAGAAGAAAGTCTTTGGCCCAAAGTTTTGTACTTACCTAATGACTATATAGTTCTACTCTTCCCTTGTGGGTGTACTCATGTACTACAATAGAACAGAGAAAGTGAGAGAGAGGCAGCCGGCACTTCGTCAGTTCTTGAGAGTTTCAACCATTGCTTCATCATTTCTTCTTTCTCCCTTCCCTTTGTGATATTGTCGTCACTACCGTCATTCTTTGTGGTTTACCAAGAGGGCAACCGAAGTGTAAAACATTGTGGGTTGAGCAAGTCTCGATTGATGTTCATTTGGTGATTTTCTAAGTTCGGATTCAAGATTTCTCAGTGTTTCTACCAATATATTCTTAGAGAAAAAACAATTCCTAGAAGCATCTTTCATTCATATTGATTTATATTTTTTAGACAGTTTTTCGTTTCAAAACTTTGGTTTTAGCCAATATGTAGCTCATATTTACAAACATGTTTATAAAATATAAATATTCAAATGACTTCTTTATTTATGTATTTCGTGACTCACAAGTACTACATACATATCCACCACGTATTTTTATCTATTTATAAAGAAAAATTGTTTATAAATACTTCTCGAACATGCTCTCGTTGTGCACTTCAATGACATATAAATCCTTTTCTATAAAAAGCCCCTGCTCGATAAGGATTAACATTTAGATTTTAATCTAAGTTAAAGTCAACAATTAATTTTAATAACATATTTTATAGGTCTCGCAACTTTTTAACCACAATTTTATTAACTTCTATCAAAATCTGATAAAATATATATTTTAATCTCCTACAAACAGATTGATGGAATATTTAGCCCAAGTTTGTCGTAAAAAGTTAATTAAAAATAAAATCAAAATCAATAATTAATTTTAATCATATATTTTATAGAATTTACAATTTTTAACTATTTTTTATCACATATTTTATAATTTTTTATTCAAATTTATTCAAATTAATTTTTTAGCAAAATCAAGTACTAAATATATTTGATAATTAATTAAGGGAAAAATACATATACAAGGTGTTTACTAAACACAATTTCAACAGCAATGAACATTGATGTTGTGCGATGACTGACTACAAAGCATCGGTAACGTGCGGCAACAACACCCTTGTTTTAAGTGACAAAAAAAAGAAGTAATTCCTTGAAAGATTTCAGTTATTTCTGCACAAAAGGAAGAATGATTGATGTATTTACGGAAGAAAATGAATGGTGTATTTATTTGTTGTTATAATCAATCTAACTTGATTCAATTTGTAAAAAAATGTCCCTGATTAAAGTAAGTAGTTTAGATTAATTTTACTTCATTTTGCTATTTCATTTGTTAAAGACG